AGAGTGAACGGAGTTGTCAGAACGCCTAATAAAGTTTGACTTCATCTGACTGTTTTGTTGACATTCCCTTTAGCACATCTGGTGGATGCATAACGCAAACCCAGTCAAACGTTTGACTGCAGTATCTCATGCGCCTTATAATCCGGTGCGCCTTATAGTGCGGAAAATACGGTACCCAAACCTGCAGCCACACCAGGCATGTAAAAGAGACGGGCGTCTATTTGGGAGTCGGCTATTATTTGAAGTTTTATGGTACTCACCATCAAGACATCCTAGGTGTATATGACGATCTTCTTTCAGCCGAACACAATCAGAGATACACTATATAGACCTTATTCACAGCAGCGCCATCTTTGATTTTTAACGGGAATGAAAGCGAGGCTGTAAGGGATAGGCATGCATCTCTTCAGTGGGTTATAGAGTTAGCTATTTAATGTGTTTTTGGATTGTTCTGTTGACGAATCACTTCAAAAATATCTTTCCAAGAAATCAAGGTCAAGGTAACTTTATTGTCCCCGAGGGGTAATTACTTGTACAGCCAGCAGATAAACACAAGGACAAAACACACAACAATTCAACAAAACACAAAATACCCACAGTCTCTGAAACACAAAAGTAAAGAAATACATTTAAAACAGTTCGGGCAATTTGTTTAAAATCAAAACAGAAGTCGGGATAAGAGAGTTACTGAGGGAAGTAGCTTAAACTGACAGGACAAGGGATGGCTAGGGTCATCTGCAATAGATTGGAGATCTATAGATTGGAGATCTCGGTCTGACAGTACGGGTGAAGACCTGTAGGTGGCATGTGATCTGATGATATCTGTGTGTTTAGGTCTGCGGCCGGTTTCAAACGCAAGCTCATTCAGGACGAGGATCGCTTCCAGAGTTTCTGCAACAAGATCTTCGCGGGCTGGGACTTCTGCATCACCAACGAAAACGCGGCGCGGCTGAAGCGGAGCAGCTTACTGTACGAGATGAAGGTGCGTCTCCTGCCACTCCCGTGAGCTCCTGAGGGACGAGAGCTCAACTCCTGTGTTCCTGAGGCACGAGAGCTCAACTCCTGTGTTCCTAAGGGACGAGAGCTTAACTCCTGTGTTCCTGAGGGACGAGAGCTTAACTCCTGTGTTCCTGAGGGACGAGAGCTTAACTCCTGTGTTCCTGAGGCACGAGAGCTTAACTCCTGTGTTCCTGAGGGACGAGAGCCTAACTCCTGTGTTCCTGAGGGACGAGAGCTTAACTCCTGTGTTCCTGAGGGACGAGAGCTTAACTCCTGTGTTCCTGAGGGACGAGAGCTTAACTCCTGTGTTCCTGAGGGACGAGAGCTTAACTCCTGTGTTCCTGAGGGACGAGAGCTTAACTCCTGTGTTCCCGAGGGACGAGAGCTTAACTCCTGTGTTCCCGAGGGACGAGAGCTTAACTCCTGTGTTCCCGAGGGACGAGAGCTTAACTCCTGTGTTCCCGAGGGACGAGAGCTTAACTCCTGTGTTCCTGAGGGACGAGAGCTTAACTCCTGTGTTCCTGAGGGACGAGAGCTTAACTCCTGTGTTCCCGAGGGACGAGAGCTTAACTCCTGTGTTCCCGAGGGACGAGAGCTTAACTCCTGTGTTCCCGAGGGACGAGAGCTTAACTCCTGTGTTCCCGAGGGACGAGAGCTTAACTCCTGTGTTCCCGAGGGACGAGAGCTTAACTCCTGTGTTCCTGAGGGACGAGAGCTTAACTCCTGTGTTCCTGAGGGACGAGAGCTTAACTCCTGTGTTCCCGAGGGACGAGAGCTTAACTCCTGTGTTCCCGAGGGACGAGAGCTTAACTCCTGTGTTCCTGAGGGACGAGAGCTTAACTCCTGTGTTCCCGAGGGACGAGAGCTTAACTCCTGTGTTCCTGAGGGACGAGAGCTTAACTCCTGTGTTCCCGAGGGACGAGAGCTTAACTCCTGTGTTCCCGAGGGACGAGAGCTTAACTCCTGTGTTCCTGAGGGACGAGAGCTTAACTCCTGTGTTCCCGAGGGACGAGAGCTTAACTCCTGTGTTCCTGAGGGACGAGAGCTTAACTCCTGTGTTCCTGAGGGACGAGAGCTTAACTCCTGTGTTCCTTAGGGACGAGAGCTTAACTCCTGTGTTCCTGAGGGACGAGAGCTTAACTCCTGTGTTCCTGAGAGACGAGAGCTTAACTCCTGTGTTCCTGAGGGACGAGAGCTTAACTCCTGTGTTCCTGAGGGACGAGAGCTTAACTCCTGTGTTCCTGAGGGACGAGAGCTTAACTCCTGTGTTCCTGAGGGACGAGAGCTTAACTCCTGTGTTCCTGAGGGACGAGAGCTTAACTCCTGTGTTCCTGAGGGATGAGAGCTTAACTCCTCTGTGTTCCTGAGGGACGAGAGCTTAACTCCTGTGTTCCTGAGTGATGAGAGCTTAACTCCTGTGTTCCTGAGTGATGAGAGCTTAACTCCTGTGTTCCTGAGGGACGAGAGCTTAACTCCTGTGTTTATAAGGGACGAGAGCTTAACTCCTGTGTTCCTGAGGGATGAGAGCTTAACTCCTGTGTTCCTGAGGGATTAGAGCTTAACTCCTCTGTGTTCCTGAGGGACGAGAGCTTAACTCCTGTGTTCCTGAGGGACGAGAGCTCCACTCCTGTGTTCCTGAGGCACGAGAGCTTAACTCCTGTGTTCCTGAGGGACGAGAGCCTAACTCCTGTGTTCCTGAGGGACGAGAGCCTAACTCCTGTGTACCTGAGGGACGAGAGCTTAACTCCTGTGTTCCTGAGGGACGAGAGCTTAACTCCTGTGTTCCTGAGGGACGAGAGCTTAACTCCTGTGTTCCTGAGGCATGAGAGCTTAACTCCTCTGTTCCTGAGGGACGAGAGCTTAACTCCTGTGTTCCTTAGGGACGAGAGCCTTACTCCTGTGTTCCTGAGGGACGAGAGCCTAACTCCTGTGTTCCTGAGGGACGAGAGCCTAACTCCTGTGTTCCTGAGGGACGAGAGCTTAACTCCTGTGTTCCTTAGGGACGAGAGCTTAACTCCTGTGTTCCTGAGGGACGAGAGCTTAACTCCTCTGTTCCTGAGGGACGAGAGCTTAACTCCTCTGTTCCTGAGGGACGAGAGCCTAACTCCTGTGTTTCTGAAGGACGAGAGCCTTACTCCTGTGTTCCTGAGGGACGAGAGCCAAACTCCTGTGTTCCTGAGGGACGAGAGCTTAACTCCTGTCTTCCTGAGGGACGAGAGCCTAACTCCTGTGTTCCTGAGGGACGAGAGCCTAACTCCTGTGTTCCTGAGGCATGAGAGCTTAACTCCTCTGTTGCTGAGGGACGAGAGCTTATCTCCTGTGTTCCTTAGGGACGAGAGCCTTACTCCTGTGTTCCTGAGGGACGAGAGCCAAACTCCTGTGTTCCTGAGGGACGAGAGCTTAACTCCTGTGTTCCTGAGGGACGAGAGCCTAACTCCTGTGTTCCTGAGGGACGAGAGCCTAACTCCTGTGTTCCTGAGGCATGAGAGCTTAACTCCTCTGTTCCTGAGGGACGAGAGCTTATCTCCTGTGTTCCTTAGGGACGAGAGCCTTACTCCTGTGTTCCTGAGGGACGAGAGCGTAACTCCTGTGTTCCTTAGGGACGAGAGCTTAACTCCTGTGTTCCTGAGGGACGAGAGCCTAACTCCTGTGTTCCTGAGGGACGAGAGCTTAACTCCTGTGTTCCTGAGGGACGAGAGCCTAACTCCTGTGTTCCTGAGGCATGAGAGCTTAACTCTGTTCCTGAGGGACGAGAGCTTAACTCCTGTGTTCCTGAGGGACGAGAGCCTAACTCCTGTGTTCCTTAGGGACGAGAGCCTTACTCCTGTGTTCCTGAGGGACGAGAGCTTAACTCCTGTGTTCCTGAGGGACGAGAGCGTAACTCCTGTGTTCCTGAGGGACGAGAGCTTAACTCCTGTGTTCCTGAGGGACGAGAGCGTAACTCCTGTGTTCCTGAGGGACGAGAGCTTAACTCCTGTGTTCCTGAGGCATGAGAGCTTAACTCTGTTCCTGAGGGACGAGAGCTTAACTCCTGTGTTCCTGTGCCCACAGACGGATCTGGAGGAGGAGCGAATCAAGCGCCGGATGGCCAATCGCACGCGGGGTGAGAAGTGCCGCATTTACGCGCTCAGAGCCGTGCTCAACCTCTTCGTCATGGCCGTGCTAGTCACCTGCTTCTACTGCATCTACGTGGCCACGGTGTTCTCGCAGCGCAAGCAAGTGAAGGTGAGCTGTGACTATAGACTGTAAATCAATATGGGCGTAGTGTCTGTGAAGTCACCCGTAGGTTCTGATGAGCATTTCTGAAGCTCAAAATGGGCGGAGCCGGCCATTGCCTTGTGAAGGTGTTTATAATGAGGTGTGTGTGTGTAGGAGGAGAAGAGTGCGTTCCTGCAGGAGCTGGTGGTGGAGTACCTGCCCTCCATCGTCATCACGCTGGCCAACTTCATCACGCCGCTGATCTTCAGCCTCATCATCACCTTCGAGGACTATTCGCCCGCCTTCGAGATCCGCTTCACGCTGATGAGGCAAGGCTCGCACCACACACACTCTCTGCTGCACACACACTTATAAATGCCCTTGCCTTTCCCAAACACTGACAGCCACAGCCACTATATTACAGCGTTAGTTCACCCTAAAACTCTCTCATCATTAACTCACCCTCATGTCCTTCCAAACCCATAATACTTTCATTCATCTTCTGAATACAAATAAAGGTATTTTATTAAAATATGAGAGATTTCTGTCCCTTCATTGTAAGTCTATTCATATGAATGGAACGGTTTAATACAAGTCTCCTGAAGAGACATGATCACTTACAGATTTAATTTAGGATTTTTATTCACACAAAAACACACACTCTTCTGATTGGCTGAGTGCAGTGCGCCTGCAGAGAGACTCCGCCCACACACTCTTCTGATTGGCTGAGTGCAGTGCGCCTGCAGATAGACTCCGCTCACTCACTCTTCTGATAGGCTGAGTGCAGTGCGTCTGCAGAGAGACTCCGCCCACACTCTTCTGATTGGCTGAGTGCAGTGCGTCTGCAGAGAGACTCCGGCCACACTCTTCTGATTGGCTGAGTGCAGTGCGTCTGCAGAGAGACTCCGGCCACACTCTTCTGATTGGCTGAGTGCAGTGCGTCTGCAGAGAGACTCCGCCCACACTCTTCTGATAGGCTGAGTGCAGTGCGTCTGCAGAGAGACTCCGCCCACACTCTTCTGATAGGCTGAGTGCAGTGCGCCTGCAGAGAGACTCCGCCCACATATTCTTAATGTATGCTGACCCTGAACTGGGAGACCCCCATCCATGTTCAGTGTGTGTGTGTTCAGTGACAAGCGTTATGTTTATTATGTGTGTGTTCAGTGACAAGCATTATGTTCATTATGTGTGTGTGTGTGTTCAGGTGTGTGTTCATGCGTTTGGCCAGCATCGGCGTGCTGCTCTTCTCTCTGTGGGTCCAGATCACGTCCTGTGAAAGTTCAAACTGTCCCTGCGGCTACAACCATCAGACCTACCCTGTACGTCTCACACTCTCACTCACTCACTCACTCACTCACTCACTCACTCACTCACTCACTCACTCACTCACTCACTCACTCACTCACTCTCACACACTCACTCACACAAACAAACAAACGTGTTGTCCTGCAGTGCTGGGAGGCTCATGTTGGGCAGGAGATGTATAACCTCGTGATTTTCGCCACACGCACACACACACACTCACACACACACGTATGTTGTGCGTCTCTAAATGAGTGTGTTGTGCTGCAGTGCTGGGAGACTCATGTCGGGCAGGAGATGTACAAGCTCGTGATCTTCGACTTCCTGATCATCGCCGCCGTCACCATCTTCGTGGAGTTTCCCAGGAAGTATGAGATGTTTTGTACAGATGTTTTGAGTTCTGCCTCAGTTTCCCCTGAGGTGTGTGTCTGAGAGTCGTCTGGTTGTTGCAGGATCATCGTGAACCACTGTGACCACGGTTTGGTGAGGTGGTGGGGTCAGCAGGAGTTTGCCGTCCCTCAGAACGTGCTGGAGATCGTCTACGGTCAAACCATCTGCTGGATCGGCACCTTCTACTGCCCCCTGCTGCCCGCCATCAACACCGTCAAATACGTCCTCGTCTTCTACCTCAAGAAGGTCACAACTCAAGCGTGCTTCACAATACATGTTTCAGAGCAGCTTTACAGAAAACACTTGTTTCAGTGTTACAGTTTAGGAAGTGTTCCGTTATCAGTCAGAGACTAGTCTAATGTTATATAAACATGGCAGTGATGTAGAGCTATAGTGTAGTGTGTTATGTGGTTAGTCATGTTAGGCATGTTACTCCCACAGGTGTCTCTGGTGTAATGTGAGCCTGTAGTGTGGTTAGTTATATTAGGGATGGCTCGATACCACAATTTTGGCTTCGGTACGATACCAGAACCTAATACCTCGGTATCGATACTAAATCGATACCACAGGTTAAAAAAAAAAAAAAAACAGTCTCAAAATTTAAGTGACACTTAAAAAAACACTGCTTGAAATTCTCCACTACCAAATGTGCAAAGAAAATGTATCAAATTGTAAAAAAAAAAATTCAGTCAGGGAACATACAGTAGGTTAAATTTTGATTTTGAAAAAAAACCCCTGAAATTATACAATTAAAATAGGTTAATATCTATAATAATAGATTCACATATAATAATAATAATAGAATGAAATGACATGTAAACCATTAGCTGTCATGCATCAACAGAGGTTTATCAACATTTATTGCATTTATTCATCTTGGTTTGGTTACTGTTTGGGTTCATATTAGTTTAATGCATTGCATAAAGTAATGTTAACATGCTAAAAACATGTATTAGTAAATTTAATTTTCTAGGTCATTTAATTACTGATTGATATAGATAGATTAATAAATGCTATATTACTGTTAGGTCAGGTTACCTAATGAATGTTGACAAATGTAGCTTAATTGTAATATTAGTAATATTCATATATGCTTATTGCTCTAGGGGTCACCACAGCGGCACTACTATGCCATTCATTTTACTATCACTAATACTAAAATTAATATTATTCATATTCTTTATTCATTCAAATTCAATTAATATATGTTTGTTTGAAAGTGCAAAAATGATGAGACTAAACTTAATTGGTTCTAGCGTGTCATGCAAGCAGATTTGAGCTTTCGTGTTTACCCTATCATATAATTTATAAGCTCTTATGTATGCGCGGCGCTGTTCGCTGTTCAATGTTCAAAAAAAGTCTAAATTAAATCAGTTGAATGATGGACTAACCTGTCGATCTCGGAACTCTTTCAACAAGTCAAGATGAGCAACTGACAAGTCAAGTGCTTCGGCAAATTTGATGTGTTGCCTCCCCGTTTGCAGAGTGGTGCATTGAGATCTGTTTCTTTACTTTTTCATTACTTTTGTTGGCAAAGTAATGCCTTATTTCACTCATTCTGCTCTCTCTATTTATTAATTTCGGGCGTGTAGAAATTCGAATGAGCTTCGTTTGATCCATCGTGTTCCTCTGTTGTCACCGTTTGCCGGTTTCGCGTGACCCGCGTCAGTTTAGGTAGCGCACTGCCGCCTAGCGGTGAACTTCGAAACAGCAGCGCATCAAATACCGAATTGAACAAAATTATGATATTGTACCGTTTGCAATATAATATATACCGGTATTTTTGCAGTAACGGTATACCGCGCATCCCTATTAGGCATGTTACTCCCACAGGTGTCTCTGGTGTAGTGTGAGCCTGTAGTGTGTTATGTGGTTAGTTATATTAGGCATGTTACTCCCACAGGTGTCTCTGGTGTAGTGTGAGCCTGTAGTGTGTTATGTGGTCAGTTATGTTAGGCATGTTACTCCCACAGGTGTCTCTGGTGTAGTGTGAGCCTGTAGTGTGTTATGTGGTTAGTTATATTAGGCATGTTACTCCCACAGGTGTCTCTGGTGTAGTGTGAGCCTGTAGTGTGTTATGTGGTCAGTTATGTTAGGCATGTTACTCCCACAGGTGTCTCTGGTGTAGCGTGAGCCTGTAGTGTGTTATGTGGTTAGTTATGTTAGGCATGTTACTCCCACAGGTGTCTCTGGTGTAGTGTGAGCCTGTAGTGTGTTATGTGGTTAGTTATGTTAGGCATGTTACTCCCACAGGTGTCTCTGGTGTAGTGTGAGCCTGTAGTGTGTTATGTGGTTAGTTATGTTAGGCATGTTACTCCCACAGGTGTCTCTGGTGTAGTGTGAGCCTGTAGTGTGTTATGTGGTTAGTTATGTTAGGCATGTTACTCCCACAGGTGTCTCTGGTGTAGCGTGAGCCTGTAGTGTGTTATGTGGTTAGTCATGTTAGGCATGTTACTCCCACAGGTGTCTCTGGTGTAGTGTGAGCCTGTAGTGTGTTATGTGGTTAGTCATGTTAGGCATGTTACTCCCACAGGTGTCTCTGGTGTAGCGTGAGCCTGTAGTGTGTTATGTGGTTAGTTATGTTAGGCATGTTACTCCCACAGGTGTCTCTGGTGTAGTGTGAGCCTGTAGTGTGTTATGTGGTTAGTTATGTTAGGCATGTTACTCCAACAGGTGTCTCTGGTGTAGTGTGAGCCTGTAGTGTGTTATGTGGTTAGTTATGTTAGGCATGTTACTCCCACAGGTGTCTCTGGTGAAGCGTGAGCCTGTAGTGTGTTATGTGGTTAGTTATGTTAGGCATGTTACTCCCACAGGTGTCTCTGGTGTAGCGTGAGCCTGTAGTGTGTTATGTGGTTAGTCATGTTAGGCATGTTACTCCCACAGGTGTCTCTGGTGTAGTGTGAGCCTGTAGTGTGTTATGTGGTTAGTTATATTAGGCATGTTACTCCCACAGGTGTCTCTGGTGTAGTGTGAGCCTGTAGTGTGTTATGTGGTTAGTCATGTTAGGCATGTTACTCCCACAGGTGTCTCTGGTGTAGTATGAGCCTGTAGTGTGTTATGTGGTCAGTTATGTTAGGCATGTTACTCCCACAGGTGTCTCTGGTGTAGCGTGAGCCTGTAGTGTGTTATGTGGTTAGTTATGTTAGGCATGTTACTCCCACAGGTGTCTCTGGTGTAGCGTGAGCCTGTAGTGTGTTATGTGGTTAGTTATATTAGGCATGTTACTCCCACAGGTTTCTCTGGTGTAGTGTGAGCCTGTAGTGTGTTATGTGGTTAGTTATGTTAGGCATGTTACTCCCACAGGTGTCTCTGGTGTAGTGTGAGCCTGTAGTGTGTTATGTGGTTAGTTATGTTAGGCATGTTACTCCCACAGGTTTCTCTGGTGTAGTGTGAGCCTGTAGTGTGTTATGTGGTTAGTTATGTTAGGCATGTTACTCCCACAGGTGTCTCTGGTGTAGCGTGAGCCTGTAGTGTGTTATGTGGTTAGTTATGTTAGGCATGTTACTCCCACAGGTGTCTCTGGTGTAGTGTGAGCCTGTAGTGTGTTATGTGGTTAGTTATGTTAGGCATGTTACTCCAACAGGTGTCTCTGGTGTAGTGTGAGCCTGTAGTGTGTTATGTGGTTAGTTATATTAGGCATGTTACTCCCACAGGTGTCTCTGGTGTAGTGTGAGCCTGTAGTGTGTTATGTGGTTAGTTATGTTAGGCATGTTACTCCCACAGGTGTCTCTGGTGTAGTGTGAGCCTGTAGTGTGTTATGTGGTTAGTTATGTTAGGCATGTTACTCCCACAGGTGTCTCTGGTGTAGCGTGAGCCTGTAGTGTGTTATGTGGTTAGTTATGTTAGGCATGTTACTCCCACAGGTGTCTCTGGTGTAGCGTGAGCCTGTAGTGTGTTATGTGGTTAGTCATGTTAGGCATGTTACTCCCACAGGTGTCTCTGGTGTAGTGTGAGCCTGTAGTGTGTTATGTGGTTAGTTATATTAGGCATGTTACTCCCACAGGTGTCTCTGGTGTAGTGTGAGCCTGTAGTGTGTTATGTGGTTAGTCATGTTAGGCATGTTACTCCCACAGGTGTCTCTGGTGTAGTGTGAGCCTGTAGTGTGTTATGTGGTCAGTTATGTTAGGCATGTTACTCCCACAGGTGTCTCTGGTGTAGCGTGAGCCTGTAGTGTGTTATGTGGTTAGTCATGTGGTTAGTCATGTTAGGCATGTTACTCCCACAGGTGTCTCTGGTGTAGCGTGAGCCTGTAGTGTGTTATGTGGTTAGTCATGTTAGGCATGTTACTCCCACAGGTGTCTCTGGTGTAGTGTGAGCCTGTAGTGTGTTATGTGGTTAGTTATATTAGGCATGTTACTCCCACAGGTGTCTCTGGTGTAGTGTGAGCCTGTAGTGTGTTATGTGGTTAGTCATGTTAGGCATGTTACTCCCACAGGTGTCTCTGGTGTAGTGTGAGCCTGTAGTGTGTTATGTGGTTAGTTATGTTAGGCATGTTACTCCCACAGGTGTCTCTGGTGTAGTGTGAGCCTGTAGTGTGTTATGTGGTTAGTTATGTTAGGCATGTTACTCCCACAGGTGTCTCTGGTGTAGCGTGAGCCTGTAGTGTGTTATGTGGTTAGTTATGTTAGGCATGTTACTCCCACAGGTGTCTCTGGTGTAGCGTGAGCCTGTAGTGTGTTATGTGGTTAGTTATGTTAGGCATGTTACTCCCACAGGTGTCTCTGGTGTAGCGTGAGCCTGTAGTGTGTTATGTGGTTAGTTATGTTAGGCATGTTACTCCCACAGGTGTCTCTGGTGTAGCGTGAGCCTGTAGTGTGTTATGTGGTTAGTTATGTTAGGCATGTTACTCCCACAGGTGTCTCTGGTGTAGTGTGAGCCTGTAGTGTGTTATGTGGTTAGTTATGTTAGGCATGTTACTCCCACAGGTGTCTCTGGTGTAGTGTGAGCCTGTAGTGTGTTATGTGGTCAGTTATGTTAGGCATGTTACTCCCACAGGTGTCTCTGGTGTAGCGTGAGCCTGTAGTGTGTTATGTGGTTAGTTATGTTAGGCATGTTACTCCCACAGGTGTCTCTGGTGTAGTGTGAGCCTGTAGTGTGTTATGTGGTTAGTTATGTTAGGCATGTTACTCCCACAGGTGTCTCTGGTGTAGTGTGAGCCTGTAGTGTGTTATGTGGTTAGTTATGTTAGGCATGTTACTCCCACAGGTGTCTCTGGTGTAGTGTGAGCCTGTAGTGTGTTATGTGGTTAGTTATGTTAGGCATGTTACTCCAACAGGTGTCTCTGGTGTAGCGTGAGCCTGTAGTGTGTTATGTGGTTAGTCATGTTAGGCATGTTACTCCCACAGGTGTCTCTGGTGTAGCGTGAGCCTGTAGTGTGTTATGTGGTTAGTTATATTAGGCATGTTACTCCCACAGGTGTCTCTGGTGTAGTGTGAGCCTGTAGTGTGTTATGTGGTTAGTCATGTTAGGCATGTTACTCCCACAGGTGTCTCTGGTGTAGCGTGAGCCTGTAGTGTGTTATGTGGTTAGTTATGTTAGGCATGTTACTCCCACAGGTGTCTCTGGTGTAGCGTGAGCCTGTAGTGTGTTATGTGGTTAGTTATGTTAGGCATGTTACTCCCACAGGTGTCTCTGGTGTAGCGTGAGCCTGTAGTGTGTTATGTGGTTAGTTATGTTAGGCATGTTACTCCCACAGGTGTCTCTGGTGTAGTGTGAGCCTGTAGTGTGTTATGTGGTTAGTTATGTTAGGCATGTTACTCCCACAGGTGTCTCTGGTGTAGCGTGAGCCTGTAGTGTGTTATGTGGTTAGTTATGTTAGGCATGTTACTCCCACAGGTGTCTCTGGTGTAGTGTGAGCCTGTAGTGTGTTATGTGGTCAGTTATGTTAGGCATGTTACTCCCACAGGTGTCTCTGGTGTAGCGTGAGCCTGTAGTGTGTTATGTGGTTAGTTATGTTAGGCATGTTACTCCCACAGGTGTCTCTGGTGTAGTGTGAGCCTGTAGTGTGTTATGTGGTTAGTTATGTTAGGCATGTTACTCCCACAGGTGTCTCTGGTGTAGCGTGAGCCTGTAGTGTGTTATGTGGTTAGTTATATTAGGCATGTTACTCCCACAGGTGTCTCTGGTGTAGTGTGAGCCTGTAGTGTGTTATGTGGTCAGTTATGTTAGGCATGTTACTCCCACAGGTGTCTCTGGTGTAGCGTGAGCCTGTAGTGTGTTATGTGGTTAGTTATGTTAGGCATGTTACTCCCACAGGTGTCTCTGGTGTAGTGTGAGCCTGTAGTGTGTTATGTGGTTAGTTATGTTAGGCATGTTACTCCCACAGGTGTCTCTGGTGTAGTGTGAGCCTGTAGTGTGTTATGTGGTCAGTTATGTTAGGCATGTTACTCCCACAGGTGTCTCTGGTGTAGCGTGAGCCTGTAGTGTGTTATGTGGTCAGTTATGTTAGGCATGTTACTCCCACAGGTGTCTCTGGTGTAGCGTGAGCCTGTAGTGTGTTATGTGGTTAGTTATGTTAGGCATGTTACTCCCACAGGTGTCTCTGGTGTAGTGTGAGCCTGTAGTTTGTTATGTGGTTAGTTATATTAGGCATGTTACTCCCACAGGTGTCTCTGGTGTAGTGTGAGCCTGTAGTGTGTTATGTGGTTAGTTATATTAGGCATGTTACTCCCACAGGTGTCTCTGGTGTAGTGTGAGCCTGTAGTGTGTTATGTGGTTAGTTATGTTAGGCATGTTACTCCCACAGGTGTCTCGGGTGTAGTGTGAGCCTGTAGTGTGTTATGTGGTTAGTCATGTTATGCATGTTACTCCCACAGGTGTCTCTGGTGTAGTGTGAGCCTGTAGTGTGTTATGTGGTCAGTTATGTTAGGCATGTTACTCCCACAGGTGTCTCTGGTGTAGTGTGAGCCTGTAGTGTGTTATGTGGTTAGTTATGTTAGGCATGTTACTCCCACAGGTGTCTCTGGTGTAGTGTGAGCCTGTAGTGTGTTATGTGGTCAGTTATGTTAGGCATGTTACTCCCACAGGTGTCTCTGGTGTAGTGTGAGCCTGTAGTGTGTTATGTGGTTAGTTATGTTAGGCATGTTACTCCCACAGGTGTCTCGGGTGTAGTGTGAGCCTGTAGTGTGTTATGTGGTTAGTTATGTTAGGCATGTTACTCCCACAGGTGTCTCTGGTGTAGTGTGAGCCTGTAGTGTGTTATGTGGTTAGTTATGTTAGGCATGTTACTCCCACAGGTGTCTCTGGTGTAGTGTGAGCCTGTAGTGTGTTATGTGGTTAGTTATGTTAGGCATGTTACTCCCACAGGTGTCTCTGGTGTAGTGTGAGCCTGTAGTGTGTTATGTGGTTAGTCATGTTAGGCATGTTACTCCCACAGGTGTCTCTGGTGACCAACTGTCGTCCCGCTACTCGCCCGTTCCGAGCGTCCAGTTCCCACTTCTTCTTCCTGGTGGTGTTGCTGATCGGCTTGGCTCTGGCATCAGTTCCCGTCACCGTCAGTATTGCAGAGTGAGTCCACGCATCACGACACGCATCACAGTCCGTATCAAACATGCCTCACAACATGCTTCACAACACGCATCATGACACGCATTACAACCCACTTCTCAGCACCGGTCCGCTCTCCTCATGGCGGTGTGTTCCAGTGTTAAACACGCCTCTCAGTGTTGGTTATACTCTCCTGTGCGGTGTGTGTGCAGGATCCAGGCGTCGCGAGCGTGTGGCCCGTTCATCAACTACAGCACCTCATGGCAGGTGGTGCCGCGGGGGATTACCCAGCTGCCCCTGGGCCTGCGCTCGTTCCTGCTAGCGCTCGCCTCCGAGGCCTTCGCCGTGTCCTTCTTCGTCATCACCTGGTGAGCATCATCTTCATCACTCTCTGCTGTATCGCTGGATCCTTTACGTGTGCAATGAACATTTCATTTTACCATTCAGTTTAAGACTTTACAAACTTGTGCTTTACCTAATTTGGTGTTCTGGGTCAAAATGACCCGCCTACGAGAGATTGCTTGTAAATCTCTTATTATGCCATTATCTCCAAATACTGGATTCAGTCTTTTTGGTCAACTTGAGGCCTGTGATCAATCAGTGACAAAAAACCTCTGCTAACCCAAAGAAAACAAGTTAATAAAAGTTTGAATCCAGTATTCTGTGATAATAGAGCAATTTTTCATGGTGTACCAAGGTGGAAAATAAACCCCCCAAGCACACAAATGATCGTAGTATTTTTGAGAAGTTGTGATACTCTGTGTGAACAAATTCAGTTTTAGTCCAATACGATAACATTAACTAGCATTTGCAGGAAGCAGAAAATCCCGTCCCTGTCAAAGTGACCAGAACACATGTGGGATAAACTGTGTGTGTGTGTGTGTGTTGCAGTCTGGGGATGTTCTATGTGATCGCTCTGGCTGGAGCTCATAAGCGTGTGATTGAACAGCTCCGAGATCAGCTGGCCATGGTGAGTCTCCACAGGATGAGGAAGATGATGATAATGATGATGATGATGAGTGTGTGTTTCTGTGTGAGCAGGAAGGCCGGGACAAGCGTTTCCTCATCCAGAAGTTGTATCAGGCCCAGCAGGCCACATTCAGGCGTTCTGCAGACGCCAAGGGTTTGAGCAGGAACCGATACGATGCTGGACTGTGTTTAGTGGAGCCGTCAGTGGTGCTGGAGACTCAGGCCTGACCCAGCGACCCGTCAACCCAGCTACCCAATGACCCAGCTACCCATTGACCCAGCGAACCATCGAACCATTGACTCATCAAACACACTCGCTCAATGGAGCCGTCAGTGGTGCTGTAGACTCAGGCCTGACCCAGCGATCTGTCAACCCAGCTACCCAATGACCCAGCTACCCACTGACCCAGCGAACCGTCAACCCAGCTACCCAATGACCCAGCTACCCACTGACCCAGCGAACCGTCAACCCAGCTACCCAATGACCCAGCTACCCATCGACCAAGCGAACCATCGACTCATCAAACACACTCGCTCAGTGGAGCTGTTAGTGGTTCTAGAGACTCAGGCATGACCCAGCACCCATCGACCCAGCGAACACACTCGCTCAGTGGAGCGGCTCCTGAACACACTAACTCGCCTAACACTACACCCTGTTTACTACACTAATGTCTTATTAGAGTGATTTTTGCTCTGTGTTTACAAAATGTACAAAAGTTTTGAGAATATCCCATTGTTGTGAGTGAACTGCTTTACTATCTGCACAATAAACCCATAAAACATCAAATACAGAAGATTTGAGAGATTTTCATCTGACTGAGTAACATTTAGGATGCCATACTGAGAATTTAGCTGTGTTTGATTAACTCAGATTGAACTACTACTGCAAAAATTCAGTTGTCAATCATGGAATTAACTTGCTGTATTTTGCGGTTATAAAAGGACATTTCTGGCCCAGTTTGTTTTTTGACATGTTAAATAATTGTAAGTAACCCAATGGAATCTGTGTTTATCTGTTCAGCTTCTGCAGTTACTCCCTGCTAGTTAACGGATACACTGTTATGTGGGGAAAGCGTCTTTCTCCAGAGATGGGAGGCATTTGATAATTATGGATTTGTTTGCAAATGTTTTCTTTATATTCATTCACTGAAATTCATACAGGTACAATACATATTATAGAACTTATGATCATTACTATGCTCTAATACAACACATTGACTCCTTTCTTAAACAAAAAGTATGATGAAACAGCGCAATTTATGTTAATAGTTATTAAACGTTTAGCGTTAAAACATTTATTTTAGCAAATTAAACATTTATGTGGAAAAAATTGGTCTTTACGCTGTCTTTTAAGTCAAGTCAAGTCATCTTCATTTATATAGCGCTTTTAACAATGTAGATTGTTTCAAAGCAGCTTTACAGAGATAAACATACAATTTACGGTAACAGAGATTGTTTTGGCTTTATAGCGATTTTTGAATAATGTTATTTCCAGCTAAAGTTAGTTTTGATTGATTCTCTTCCAGCAAATTGTCATTATCATTATTTAAGAAAAAAAAAACGAAAATATGTTAGGAATATTTTTCGACAGTCTGGGACTTTTATTTTGACGGGCTGCTACATGATGTTGGAGGCTTTTATTTTGACGGGCTGCTGTATGATATTCGAGGCTTTTATTTTGACGGGCTGCTACATGATATTCGAGGCTTTTATTTTGACGGGCTGCTGTATGATATTCGAGGCTTTTATTTTGACGGGCTGCTGTATGATAGTCAAGGCTTTTATTTTGACGGGCTGCTCGCGGATATCGGGGCCCGTGAGCGCAGAGAAGCTTCTGTCCGTCGCGAATCTTCGCAAATAAAATCGAGATCGATATAAAAGCAGTAATGATCGCGCAGCAGCGTGTTAGTGCACTTTAAACACATCTGCAGGTGAGCGTGTGACCGTCCGTATCAGCTCTATAGATGTCAGTGTAAATAATAAACATGTAGAGCAGAAGTGAGCATAATGATTCATTCTGCATTAATATAGTGTTAATTACACGTGACAGCCTGTAGACATTGAGTTTCAGTCACTCGAGTTTAAATTATAAGTGATCCTGAAGACGTGTGTTTGTGTGTGTGTGTGTGAAGTCACTTTGTTTATATGGCGCTTTATACCACAAATTGTGTGTGTGTTTTATAATTATTTGTGTTTAGACAAGTAGAAGAGAGAAGTAGCTCCGGCTACAATAATGTTCTTCCGCGAGACGCATGCAGTTCTGTTGAGTACCGCTAGAGCGGCTGCAGCTTTAATCATATATAATCGGGGTTTGAAATTAACTTTCTCTCACTCACCGGCCAATTTGGCTACTAAATCTTTAAGTTACCGGACATTCAGAACTTCTGCTAACCAAAAAAAAAAAATATATATATATATATATGTTATAAAATTTGGATTTCTTATTCAAACAAAATCCTGTCATCCTCTTTCATCCTCATGCTTATTAGGTGGACAGATCAATACAGTACAAAGAACATCAAAAAACATTTTTTTAGGATGTTGTAAAATAATAATGTCTTTTCTGTTAACCAAATGTTATAATCTTCGCTATTGCTTCAGTGCAAATGAACAAGCGCGCCGTTATTTGTTGCGTAGTGACGTGTGTGTTTAAGTAAGCCAGAAATGCGCTGATTCTGCGCAATACGCTGTATTTAAAGGGGTGGTTGATTATGATTTCACTTTTTTAACTTTAGTTAATGTTGCTGTTTGAGCATAAACAACATCTGCAAATTTCAAAGCAAAGGGAGATATTTTCATTTACAGAAATCACTTTTTAAGGACTACAACAAACAGCTGGTAGGGACTACACAAGCTTCTTCACGGGTTAGTGACATCACAAACCCAATATTTACATAAACCCTGAAGAAGGCTGTTTGTGCCGCTACGCGTGGGTTGTTTTTTTTCCCCCATGTCTTTTAAATTTTCTATTATGAAATAGCCAGTCAAATAAAGGCTTTTTATCAATTCCTAAGAAGAGTGCCTTGGATTTCCTTCTACTACATGGAATTCCCGATCCCAAAGAGCACCTTCATACACTTTTTTTGAACTCCTTGAGCACCCTGGACATTTTTTTCCCTTTTTTCCCTTTTACATAAACCCTGCCTCACAACAAAAGCCTCTATATGGCTCTGGTAAGCAGCAGCTCTTGAAGCTCCGCCCCCTGTGCCGGGAGCAGCAGCTCATTTGCATTTAAAGAGCCCACACACAAAACGATGCATTTTTGCTCACCCTCAAAAAAAGGCCAATTTTAACATGCTATAAAAAATTATCTGTCAACAAGAGTGTCTGGTGCTCGAGAACGCAAGCCTTGAAAAAAGTAGTTGGTTTTTACCCGCATCTGGCGGGTTGGCAGATCTTAATTTCAAACCCTGTATATAATATATTATGTATGAATGTGTTATTGGTGTTATTTGAATGTGTTCAGAGCGTCACAGTGAGTCGGGTCGGGTCATGGCGTCGGGTCCAGAGGCCGTCCACTACATCCACCTCCACAACTCCAGCCAGTCGGTTCTGGAAGCCCTGAGATCCCAGCGGCGTAAAGGCCTGTTCTGCGACGTCACGGTGCGCATCCACGACGCCTCGCTGCGGGCCCACGCCTGCGTGCTAGCGGCCGGGAGCCCCTTCTTCCAGGACAAGCTCCTGCTGGGCCACTCGGAGATCTCGGTGCCGCCGCTGGTGCCGGCGGAGACGGTGCGGCAGCTCGTGGACTTCATGTACAGCGGCTCGCTAGTCGTGCTACACTCGCAGGCTCTCTGCATCCTCACCGCCGCCTCCATCCTGCAGATCAAGACCGTCATCGACGAGTGCACGCAGATCATCTCGCAGCGCCGCGGAGGCGGGGCCCCCGGCGGAGGGGCGGGGCCTAAGCAGGAGGAGGGCGGGGCCGACGGGAAGGGGCGGGAGAGCGCGGCGCTGACGGGCTACGGCTACGACTGCGCATCGGACATGGCGGCCGCTCTGGGAGGCGGAGCTCAAGCGGAGGGCGGCGGGCTGGAAGGGGGCGGAGTCGGTGCTCTAATGCCCCTCAGCGAGTTAGGAGGCGGGGCTATGTGTCGAGGGGAGGGGCTTGGTGTTGCAGGGGGCGGGGCCATGCTGAAGCCCTCGAGCTGCTCGCAGGAGATCAGCTACATGTTGAGCGCGGAGCGCGGCGCGGCGAATGAGCGCGGGCCGATGGCGGAGGAGTACGGCGGCGTGGGGGAGGAGCTGGTGAGCGGGGTGGAGCGATTCAGCGAAGACGACGAGAGAGACGCGCACGACGCAGACAGAGACGCCGACAGAGACAGACAGACTGCGCACACGCGCAAACAGAGGCAGCCGCTGAGACTGCAGGTAATGCTACGCTCACATTTGTCAAACAGATTAGCATTGGCTGAGATGCGTGTGTGTTGGTGCAGGTGCTAAACAGAGATTAGCATTAGCTGTGATGCGTGTGTGTTGGTGCAGGTGCTAAACAGAGATTAGCATTAGCTGTGATGCGTGTGTGTTGGTGCAGGTGCTAAACAGAGATTAGCATTAGCTGTGATGCGTGTGTGTTGGTGCAGGTGCTAAACAGAGATTAGCATTAGCTGTGATGCGTGTGTGTTGGTGCAGGTGCTGGGCGGCGAGCAGGTGGTGGTGAAGAACGAGGGCGTGCAGGAAGGGGAGGGGCTGTTTGAGATGGACGAGAGAGGAAACGCATCACACAGCTCACACCAGCCCAGCTACGCACAGGTAACACACACACACACACACACACACTGTGACACGTGGCTCACACCAGCCCAGCTACGCACAGGTAACACACACACACACACACACACACTGTGACACGTGGCTCACACCAGCCCAGCTACGGACAGGTAACACACACACACACACACACACACACACACTGTGACACGTGGCTCACACCAGCCCAGCTACGCACAGGTAACACACACACACACACACACACACACACTGTGACACGTGGCTCACACCAGCCCAGCTACGGACAGGTAACACACACACACACACACTGTGACACGTGGCTCACACCAGCCCAGCTACGCACAGGTAACACACACACACAACACACACACACACACTGTGACACGTGGCTCACACCAGCCCAGCTACGGACAGGTAACACAAACACACACACACACACACACACTGTGACACGTGGCTCACACCAGCCCAGCTACGGACAGGTAACACACACACACACACACTGTGACACGTGGCTCACACCAGCCCAGCTACGCACAGGTAACACACACACACACACACACACACACTGTGACACGTGGCTCACACCAGCCCAGCTACGCACAGGTAACACACACACACACACACTGTGACACGTGGCTCACACCAGCCCAGCTACGCACAGGTAACACACACACACACACACACACACACTGTGACACGTGGCTCACACCAGCCCAGCTACGGACAGGTAACACACACACACACACACTGTGACACGTGGCTCACACCAGCCCAGCTACGCACAGGTAACACACACACACAACACACACACACACACTGTGACACGTGGCTCACACCAGCCCAGCTACGGACAGGTAACACAAACACACACACACACACACACACTGTGACACGTGGCTCACACCAGCCCAGCTACGCACAGGTAACACACACACACACACACACACACACTGTGACACGTGGCTCACACCAGCCCAGCTACGGACAGGTAACACACACACACACACACTGTGACACGTGGCTCACACCAGCCCAGCTACGCACAGGTAACACACACACACAACACACACACACTGTGACACGTGGCTCACACCAGCCCAGCTACGGACAGGTAACACAAACACACACACACACACACACTGTGACACGTGGCTCACACCAGCCCAGCTACGCACAGGTAACACACACACACACACACACACACACTGTGACACGTGGCTCACACCAGCCCAGCTACGGACAGGTAACACACACACACACACACACACACACACACTGTGACACGTGGCTCACACCAGCCCAGCTACGCACAGGTAACACACACACACACACACACACACACTGTGACACGTGGCTCACACCAGCCCAGCTACGCACAGGTAACACAAACACACACACACACACACACTGTGACACGTGGCTCACACCAGCCCAGCTACGCACAGGTAACACACACACACACACACACACACACTGTGACACGTGGCTCACACCAGCCCAGCTACGGACAGGTAACACACACACACACACACACACACACTGTGACACGTGGCTCACACCAGCCCAGCTACGCACAGGTAACACACACACACACACACACACACACTGTGACACGTGGCTCACACCAGCCCAGCTACGGACAGGTAACACAAACACACACACACACACACACACTGTGACACGTGGCTCACACCAGCCCAGCTACGCACAGGTAACACACACACACACACACACACACACACACACACTGTGACACACGGCTCACACCAGCCCATCTACGGACAGGTAACACAAACACACACACACACTGTGACACGTGGCTCACACCAGCCCATCTACGGACAGGTAACACAAACACACACACACACACACACACACACACACACACACACACACACACACACACTGTGACACGTGGCTCACACCAGCCCAGCTACGGACAGGTAACACAAACACACACACACACTGTGACACGTGGCTCACACCAGCCCATCTACGGACAGGTAACACAAACACACACACACACACACACACACACTGTGACACGTGGCTCACACCAGCCCAACTACGCACAGGTAATACACACACACACTGTGACACACGGCTCACACCAGCCCATCTACGGACAGGTAACACAAACACACACACACACACTGTGACACGTGGCTCACACCAGCCCATCTACGCACAGGTAACACACACACACACACACTGTGACACACGGCTCACACCAGCCCATCTACGGACAGGTAACACAAACACACACACACACACACACACACACACACTGTGACACGTGGCTCACACCAGCCCAGCTACGCACAGGTAATACACACACACACTGTGACACGTGGCTCACACCAGCCCATCTACGCACAGGTAACAAACACACACACACACTGTGATACGTGGCTCACACCAGCCCATCTACGGACAGGTAACACAAACACACACACACACACACACACACACACACTGTGACACGTGGCTCACACCAGCCCAGCTACGCACAGGTAATACACACACACACTGTGACACACGGCTCACACCAGCCCATCTACGGACAGGTAACACAAACACACACACACACACTGTGACACGTGGCTCACACCAGCCCATCTACGCACAGGTAACACACACACACACACACTGTGACACACGGCTCACACCAGCCCATCTACGCACAGGTAACACACACATACACTTTCACACAGGCGGCAGAAACGAGTGTGTTTGTGTGTTTCAGGGCGGGTTCTACGAGGACTCCGGCGTGTTCCCGGGCGGCTTCTGGTCTCAGGCGGATCCGCAGGCGTCTCTGGGCTCGAACCCGCGTGGCCGGGTCAACAAACCACTCTCGCCGCCGCAACCAGCCTCGCAGAACCTCGGCAGCCAGGTCTGACCCGCCGCTACAGTCGTGTGTAACGCGTAACACGCTTCTGACCCGCCGCTACAGTCGTGTGTAACGCGTAACACGCTTCTGACCCGCCGCTACAGTCGTGTGTAACGCGTAACACGCTCCTAACCCGCCGCTACAGTCGTGTGTAACGCGTAACATGCTCCTGACCCGCCGCTACAGTCGTGTGTAACGCGTAACACGCTCCTGACCCGCCGCTACAGTCGTGTGTAACGCGTAACACGCTCCTGACCCGCCGCTACAGTCGTGTGTAACGCGTAACATGCTCCTGACCCGCCGCTACAGTCGTGTGTAACGCGTAACATGCTCCTGACCCGCCGCTACAGTCGTGTGTAACGCGTAACACGCTCCTGACCCGCCGCTACAGTCGTGTGTAACGCGTAACACGCTTCTGACCCGCCGCTACAGTCGTGTGTAACGCGTAACACGCTCCTGACCCGCCGCTACAGTCGTGTGTAACGCGTAACACGCTTCTGACCCGCCGCTACAGTCGTGTGTAACGCGTAACATGCTCCTGACCCGCCGCTACAGTCGTGTGTAACGCGTAACACGCTCCTGACCCGCCGCTACAGTCGTGTGTAACGCGTAACACGCTTCTGACCCGCCGCTACAGTCGTGTGTAACGCGTAACACGCTCCTGACCCGCCGCTACAGTCGTGTGTAACGCGTAACACGCTTCTGACCCGCCGCTACAGTCGTGTGTAACGCGTAACACGCTCCTGACCCGCCGCTACAGTCGTGTGTAACGCGTAACACGCTCCTGACCCGCCGCTACAGTCGTGTCTAACGCGTAACACGCTTCTGACCCGCCGCTACAGTCGTGTGTAACGTGTAACACCCCTCTAACCCGCCGCTACAGTCGTGTGTAACGCGTAACACGCTCCTAACCCGCCGCTACAGTCGTGTGTAACGCGTAACACGCTCCTGACCCGCCGCTACAGTCGTGTGTAACGTGTAACACCCCTCTAACCCGCCGCTACAGTCGTGTGTAACGCGTAACACGCTCCTGGCCCGCCGCTACAGTCGTGTGTAACGCGTAACACGCTCCTAACCCGCCGCTACAGTCGTGTGTAACGCGTAACACACCTCTAACCCGCCGCTACAGTCGTGTGTAATGTGTAACACGCTTCTGACCCGCCGCTACAGTCGTGTGTAACGCGTAACACGCTTCTGGCCCGCCGCTACAGTCGTATGTAACGCGTAACACGCTCCTGGCCCGCCGCTACAGTCGTGTGTAACGCGTAACATGCTCCTGACCCGCCGCTACAGTCGTGTGTAACGCGTAACACGCTCCTAACCTGCCGCTACAGTCGTGTGTAACGCGTAACACGCTCCTAACCCGCGGCTACAGTCGTGTGTAACGCGTAACACGCTCCTGACCCGCCGCTACAGTCGTGTGTAACGCGTAACACCCCTCTAACCCGCCGCTACAGTCGTGTGTAGCGCGTAACACGCTCCTGACCCGCCGCTACAGTCGTGTGTAACGCGTAACACGCTTCTGACCCGCCGCTAGTCGTGTGTAACGTGTAACACGCCTCTAACCCGCCGCTACAGTCGTGTGTAACGCGTAACATGCTCCTGACCCGCCGCTACAGTCGTCTGTAACGCGTAACACGCTCCTGACCCGCCGCTACAGTCGTGTGTAACGCGTAACACGCTCCTGACCCGCCGCTACAGTCGTGTGTAACGCGTAACACGCTCCTGACCCGCCGCTACAGTCGTGTGTAACGCGTAACACGCTCCTGACCCGCCGCTACAGTCGTGTGTAACGCGTAACACGTTCCTGGCCCGCCGCTACAGTCGTGTGTAACGCGTAACACGCTTCTGACCCGCCGCTACAGTCGTGTGTAACGCGTAACACGCTCCTGACCCGCCGCTACAGTCGTGTGTAACGCGTAACACGTTCCTGGCCCGCCGCTACAGTCGTGTGTAACGCGTAACACGCTTCTGACCCGCCGCTACAGGCGTGTGTAACGCGTAACACGTTCCTGGCCCGCCGCTACAGTCGTGTGTAACGCGTAACACGCTTCTGACCCGCCGCTACAGTCGTGTGTAACGCGTAACACGTTCCTGGCCCGCCGCTACAGTCGTGTGTAACGCGTAACATGCTCCTGACCCGCCGCTACAGTCGTGTGTAACGCGTAACACGCTCCTGACCCGCCGCTACAGTCGTGTGTAACGCGTAACACGCTCCTGACCCGCCGCTACAGTCGTGTGTAACGCGTAACACGTTCCTGGCCCGCCGCTACAGTCGTGTGTAACGCGTAACACGCTTCTGACCCGCCGCTACAGTCGTGTGTAACGCGTAACACGCTCCTGACCCGCCGCTACAGTCGTGTGTAACGCGTAACACGTTCCTGGCCCGCCGCTACAGTCGTGTGTAACGCGTAACACGCTTCTGACCCGCCGCTACAGTCGTGTGTAACGCGTAACACGTTCCTGGCCCGCCGCTACAGTCGTGTGTAACGCGTAACACGCTTCTGACCCGCCGCTACAGTCGTGTGTAACGCGTAACACGCTCCTGACCCGCCGCTACAGTCGTGTGTAACGCGTAACACGCTCCTGACCCGCCGCTACAGTCGTGTGTAACGCGTAACACGTTCCTGGCCCGCCGCTACAGTCGTGTGTAACGCGTAACACGCTTCTGACCCGCCGCTACAGTCGTGTGTAACGCGTAACACGCTCCTGACCCGCCGCTACAGTCGTGTGTAACGCGTAACACGCTCCTGACCCGCCGCTACAGTCGTGTGTAACGCGTAACACGCTCCTGACCCGCCGCTACAGTCGTGTGTAACGCGTAACACGCTTCTGACCCGCCGCTAGTCGTGTGTAACGTGTAACACGCCTCTAACCCGCCGCTACAGTCGTGTGTAACGCGTAACACGCTCCTGACCCGCCGCTACAGTCGTGTGTAACGCGTAACACGTTCCTGGCCCGCCGCTACAGTCGTGTGTAACGCGTAACACGCTCCTGACCCGCCGCTACAGTCGTGTGTAATGTGTAACACGCTCCTGACCCGCCGCTACAGTCGTGTGTAATGTGTAACACGCTCCTGACCCGCCGCTACAGTCGTGTGTAACGCGTAACACGCTCCTGACCCGCCGCTACAGTCGTGTGTAACGCGTAACACGCTCCTGACCCGCCGCTACAGTCGTGTGTAACGCGTAACACGCTCCTGACCCGCCGCTACAGTCGTGTGTAACGCGTAACACGTTCCTGGCCCGCCGCTACAGTCGTGTGTAACGCGTAACACGTTCCTGGCCCGCCGCTACAGTCGTGTGTAACGCGTAACACGTTCCTGGCCCGCCGCTACAGTCGTGTGTAACGCGTAACACGCTCCTGACCCGCCGCTACAGTCGTGTGTAACGCGTAAAACGTTCCTGGCCCGCCGCTACAGTCGTGTGTAACGCGTAACACGTTCCTGGCCCGCCGCTACAGTCGTGTGTAACGCGTAACACGTTCCTGGCCCGCCGCTACAGTCGTGTGTAACGCGTAACACGTTCCTAACCTGCCGCTACAGTCGTGTGTAACGCGTAACACGTTCCTGGCCCGCTCTGCTAACGCACGTCTCTCTGTCCTCAGATGCTGTTCCAGTTTCCTGCCAGCGAATCACAGAGCCAGTCCTTCTTTGTGGGCGGACCCATGGTGATCGACGGCTTGGCTGATTCGTGCCAGCAGGCCCCGCCCCCTGCTCCTCTGACCCCGGCTCCGCCCCCCTCCACCCCAGCATGCATTGCAGGTCCGAGCTTTGCACCGCAGGGCTCCGAGACGTCCTTTGACTGCAGCCACTGCGGGAAGTCTCTGCGCTCCCGCAAGAACTACAGCAAACACATGTTCATACACTCCGGTATGTGCAAGAACTACAGCAAACACTTTCAGAATGATGTTTTTCCAGCTGATGAACGATAAAACATTAACAGCCAATCAGAATCTATCCTGCTTTAACGAGCTTTAGCATTTAAAGCAACAGACGAGAAAATTGCAGCGCTTTTAATAAAAAGACTGTGAAGATACTAATTTAGTCATGGTTATAGTTATCTGCTGGTGTGAGCGCTAATATAGTAATCATTATACTTATCGTTAGAATTATCGTTATAGCTATTATCCGCTGGTGTGAGCGCTTATGTAGTAATTATTATAGTCATCTGTATAACTATCATTATAGCTATTATCTGCTGGTGTGTGCGCCAATATATAGTAATCATTATAGTTATCGTTATAATTAAATAGAGAATTAAAAAACTAAAACGGCCAGTAGGAGGTGGCAAGTAACTGTCTATGTTAATGAATCATTCATTCGATCAATTCGTTCAGACAACTGATTCATTTATGAACAAAGCAAGTGACTGTCTTTATGAATGGGTCATTGAATCATTGACTCACTAGATTCGTTTGAAACGCAGACTCATTCATAAATGTAACACCTGTGTTTGCTCGGAGATGCGCAGCGGTTCAGCTGCGATTTTGTTTGGAACTATTTTTTCACTTAACATAGTGATTGCTATCAGGATGATACATTCAACCAGCATAATGTGTGTGTGTGTGTGTGTGTGCAGGCCAGAAGCCGCACCAGTGCAGCATCTGCTGGCGCTCGTTCTCTCTGCGGGACTACCTGCTGAAGCACATGGTGGTGCACACGGGTGTGCGGGCCTTCCAGTGCTCCGTCTGCAGCAAACGCTTCACGCAGAAGAGCTCGCTGAACGTGCACATGCGCACGCACCGCGTGGAGCGCACCTTCACCTGCGCCGTGTGCCAGCGCGCCTTCACCCACCGCACGCTGCTGGAGAGACACGCCCTGCAGCACCAGCACACGCCCAGCAAACCCAGCAATCCCAGCAGCCACCTGGAGCAGGGCGGGCCCAGCGGGCCGGGCGGAGCCTCCTAGACCGCTTTAGCGGGATCTTCACACAAGCATGAAGATCAGCCCATGATTTACTCTCCCTCAAGCCATCCGAGGTGTGTATGACACTCTTCTCTCAGACGAACGCAATCAGAGTTATGTCCTGGATCTTCCAAGCTTTATAATGGCAGTGAATGGTTGTAGTGCATCTATCCATCATAAAAGTGCATCTATCCATCATAAAAGTGCATCTGTCCGTCATAAAAGTGCATCTGTCCATCATAAAAGTGCATCTGTCCATCATAAAAGTGCATCTGTCCATCATTAAAGTGCATCTGTCCATCATTAAAGTGCATCTGTCCATCATTAAAGTGCATATATTCATCATAAAAGTACATCTATCCATCATAAAAGTGCATCTATCCATCATAAAAGTGCATCTATCCATCATAAAAGTGCATCTATCCATCATAAAAGTGCATCTATCCATCATAAAAGTACATCTATCCATCATAAAAGTGCATCTATCCATCATAAAAGTGCATCTATCCATCATAAAAGTGCATCTATCCATCATAAAAGTGCATCTATCCATCATAAAAGTGCATCTGTCCGTCATAAAAGTGCATCTGTCCATCATAAAAGTGCATCTGTCCATCATAAAAGTGTATCTGTCCGTCATAAAAGTGCATCTGTCCATCATAAAAGTGCATCTGTCCATCATAAAAGTACATCTATCCATCATAAAAGTGCATCTGTCCATCATAAAAGTGCATCTGTCCATCATAAAAGTGCATCTGTCCATCATAAAAGTGCATCTATCCATCATAAAAGTGCATCTATCCATCATAAAAGTGCATCTATCCATCATAAAAGTACATCTGTCCATCATAAAAGTACATCTATCCATCATAAAAGTGCATCTGTCCATCATAAAAGTGCATCTGTCCATCATAAAAGTGCATCTGTCCATCATTAAAGTGCATCTGTCCATCATTAAAGTGCATCTGTCCATCATTAAAGTGCATATATTCATCATAAAAGTACATCTATCCATCATAAAAGTGCATCTATCCATCATAAAAGTGCATCTATCCATCATAAAAGTGCATCTATCCATCATAAAAGTGCATCTATCCATCATAAAAGTACATCTATCCATCATAAAAGTGCATCTATCCATCATAAAAGTACATCTATCCATCATAAAAGTGCATCTGTCCATCATAAAAGTACATCTATCCATCATAAAAGTGCATCTATCCATCATAAAAGTACATCTATCCATCATAAAAGTGCATCTGTCCATCATAAAAGTACATCTATCCATCATAAAAGTGCATCTATCCATCATAAAAGTACATCTATCCATCATAAAAGTGCATCTGTCCATCATAAAAGTGCATCTATCCATCATAAAAGTGCATCTATCCATCATAAAAGTACATCTATCCATCATAAAAGTGCATCTATCCATCATAAAAGTGCATCTATCCATCATAAAAGTACATCTATCCATCATAAAAGTGCATCTATCCATCATAAAAGTGCATCTATCCATCATAAAAGTGCATCTATCCATCATAAAAGTGCATCTATCCATCATAAAAGTACATCTATCATCATAAAAGTGCATCTATCCATCATAAAAGTGCATCTATCCATCATAAAAGTGCATCTGTCCATCATAAAAGTGCATCTGTCCATCATAAAAGTGCATCTATCCATCATAAAAGTGCATCTATCCATCATAAAAGTACATCTATCCATCATAAAAGTGCATCTATCCATCATAAAAGTCCATCTGTCCATCATAAAAGTGCATCTGTCCATCATAAAAGTGCATCTATCCATCATAAAAGTGCATCTGTCCATCATAAAAGTGCATCTATCCATCATAAAAGTGCATCTATCCATCATAAAAGTACATCTATCCATCATAAAAGTGCATCTATCCATCATAAAAGTCCATCTGTCCATCATTAAAGTGCATCTGGCCATCATAAAAGTGCATCTGTCCATCATAAAAGTGCATCTGTCCATCATTAAAGTGCATCTGTCCATCATTAAAGTGCATCTGTCCATCATTAAAGTGCATCTGTCCATCATTAAAGTGCTCCACAGGCTGCAGGGGGTTAATAAAGGTCTTCTGAAGTGAAGCAATGCGTTCGTGTAAAAAAAATACCCACATTTAAAACTTTATTGACTAAAATAGCTAGCTTCCGGCTTAGAAGCTAAAGTTTGGAAGAGCCAGGACATTGTTTAATGTAACTCAGATTGTGTTGGCCTGGGAGAAGAGTGGCACACACACCTCGGATGGCGTGAGGGAGAGTAAATCCCGGGCTGATCTTCACGTTTGGGTGACCGATCCCTTTAACTCGCTCTCTCACTCCTCACACTCACCAACAACCCAGAAACCTCATGAAACACACAGACCTCATGGAGTGACTCACACTAAACGCAGTCCTGGCGCCTGTTTCAGTGTTTTACGTCTTTAATCTGTTTCTTACGTGTTTTCATGGACTCATCAGAAACCACAATGACCTCAGGACCTGAAGACACTTCAGAGCAGATTTATTACCTCCATTTTTTATTTTAACATCAACCTCCATTTTTACATTTTTTTATCAAGTATATGCTAAAATGCTATTTTTATGGTGATATGATATGTTTGGCTTCTATGCTGCGGGATCGTGGGATCTCAGTACTCGCTTCGGCTCTGGTATCTAGCATGTGCTCGCTTTACGCTGCATGAGTCTGCATTAAATGCATTGTGACGTTCCTCCGCCTGCGACTCCTTTCTTTATCTTCAGATCCCGGATCGTGTGTGTCACGACAGGAACGGGTCCATGAAGACTGGCTGGAGATCGAGTCAGGCGCTGTTGGAAGACCTAGAGTGTCTAACTTATTCTGCAAACAGCTGTAAATAATAATGAATGGAAGCTTGTTTACGCCACATTAAAAAATACAAATAAAGTTAATTTCTTTCTCAGAATTCAGTTTTTTCCGCCATTTTTTAAGAGGTGATTGAGACTTTTCTCTCACAATTCCTAGTTTGAATTGCTCAATTCTGACTTCTTACAGCTCAGAATAAATAAAAAAGTCTGAATTGTGAGATAAAGAGTAAAATTACATTTTTGTTTTATTTTATTTTACTCCGTGGCGAAAACGAGCCTAATTCTAAATCTATGATTCCTGCCATCTTAAAAATACAGCGTCTTTGTTGGCATGTCTGATTCCACGAAGAACCTTTATAAAGGTTCATATAAATATCATCCATGGAATCGTTACACAAATGATTCTTTGAGGTTCATTAAACTACTCAAATAAAACAAGGTTTTAGCAATCTTCCGCTTCATATTTAGTGTCTGAATCTGAATCGAGATTAATCTCTTTTCATTTACAATATGACTGCACTCAATTGGTAAACAATCCTATTCCTCTGATTTAATCTACTACTTGTGTTTCTTTCAGTTAGGTTAAAACAGTCATTATAACAATGTTATATTTATGTTTACCCTTCTGAAATAAGTTCATCCAGACCTCTTGAAAAGCTCTGGACTGAACGGACTCTTCGCTAAACTTCCCTTTCAGTAACATTAAACATTAACAGATAACGAACATGAGCTGTCAGGTCTGTAGTTTGTTTGTGTCGACTGCGCCTGCAGTGGATCAGCAGCGCATGCGCCGTTACTCGCGTCTAAAAGAATCGACTCCTTTAGTGAATCGCTGTGGATTCAGTCGCTAGTCTCCGTTTGATAGAATCGACTCCTTAAATGAATCAGACTTGAGTCAGTCCAGTCTTCAGTGTGTTTGTGCAGTTTGGAAACTCGGAACGCGAACGGTCGGTGAGCTGCTCAAATCTGCCCAAAATAACAGAAACAGAGCTTATAATCTGCTTAAATACGGCTCAAACACTGCTCTGATGTCGCTGAGTGTATTTGGTGCTTGAGAGTGCCTGTTCTCTGCGCTTTCTGTGTGTTTTTAAAGTGATTTTGCTGTATAAAGAGCAGTTAGAGAAGTGACGGATGAATGTTCAGAGAAAGAGAAATGAAACAGCTGAAGGCTTCATGTTAGTGGGTGAAAGTTCACAGCTTTACTTGCGCAATCAAATGATTCGATGGGCCCTATCTTGCACTCAGCGCAAATGACTTTGTACACCGACGCATGTATTTTGCACCCGCGCAAAGCGGGCTTTTCCCTCCACAGACGCACGTCGGTAAACTAGGGAATGAACTTGCGCTCCCTGGGCGGTTCAGCGCAGAAAAGGAGGCGTGTTCCGGCGCAAACATTTCCTGGTGCTATTCTGCAGTTCCAGAAATCAATTGCGCCACTGACCAGAAAAACCCAGTCTAAAGTCGGTGGCGCGTTGCGCGTACATTCAGATGCTATTTTAAGCGCGCATGCTTGGCCATAATACAGAGTGTGAAGAACGCGCATACACTGTAGATGATTCTCTCATCTACGCAGATGCATTTTACTTTTTGCAAATTATAGCCTGCATTACTATAAGAAAAATATTAAAACACGAGGGAAATCATTGTTGTGTCCATGACGATTGGAAAAATAGGCATAAAGCTTACACATTTACCCCAATTATTATATGCATGTTTAACCGAAGCTAATTTGGGTGTGTTTGTCCCATCCCCAATGTCACTTCTCTTTCTTTTACGGCCCTGACGAGAACATCGATCTCCTCGGCTGTGAACCGGTTCTGAAGCGCGCCTGGTAAGTGCGCCGTTATAATAGTATTGCGCCATGGAACACGCGCACCTCGTTCCTCATGCTCTTAAAGGGAATGTGATCTGACGCTCTTATTGGTTTGTTTCCCGTTACGCCCAAACCACACCTATGAATAATGAAGCTACTTCAGACCAACCCCTTTTAGATTTGCGTCGAGCGCAAGAGGCATTTATCCCGCCGGGAAAATAGCAACAGCGCCCAAGACCCGCCCACAAAGTTACTTGCGCTTTGCGCTTTACACTTGCGTTTCAGATCGCTAAAATAGGGCCCACTGAGTCGAACGAGCAAACAGTTTTAGAGGACTGATTAAAATGTATATAGTAGCCTATAGTAAATATATATTAAATGACTAACAATAAATGTGATTTTAATAAATACATATTACAAATTAAAATAAACAAAAAAATTAAATAATATATTTAACAGTTTGCAAAAAAGAAATTAATGTAACTTCACAGATGCTAAATGATTTCCAAATAATACTTTAAAATGGTGTAGTATAAAATTTAAATTAGTATAAATTGTTTATACTGTGTAAAATATATACCGGTAGCTGCCTTTTAAGTTTTAGGATGGATGATCATATTTGGCGATCCATGGCCTATAAGACTGGAAACCCCTGATGTAGATGATGAGATGACCTTTGACCTGTAGGAAGAGCTGGTTGCCATAGTAATATGTACTTGTCCATTTCCTGAGAACGTTTATGTAGTTTGTGCACAGACAGTGTGTGTGTGTTTCTACAGCTTCAGCATGGCAGTTCGTGTGTGTCGCCGTGGTAACCGTGTGGCTCTGCACATGCTCAGTCGGAGTGTGTCCCACAGCAGTGTGTCGGTCGAGACCCTCAGTGAGCTGCACTCACACACACAAACTCCGTTTTCCCGCTCTGCCATCGGGACGTTCTTCCAGGAGCGGCCCCTGCTCACCAACCCGTTTACCCAGGATGCACTGCTGCGAGCGTACCTGCAGCGCCACCTGCCTGTGCGGGGGGTGCAGGAGGAGCTGATGCGCTTCGGGGAGCGTGTGGTGTGTGAGGTGGAGGCTCTGGGCCGCCGGTGCGAGCTCAGCCCGCCGGTGCTGCAGCGCTACGACCCCTGGGGCCGCCGGCGCGACCGCATCCTCACCTGCGACGCCTGGGCTCACCTGAGGCGCATCTCCGCGCACGAGGGCCTGGTGGCCGCCGGATACGAGCGCACCTACGGGGAGTGGAGGTCAGAGGTCACTGCATCACTGCCTACGTTTACATGCAAACTCCTGTTTCATTCGGACTGAATTCATCGTGATTGATTAATCTGAACGTAGGGTTACGCTAAACATGTGATCGGGTTGGTGTGTGTGTTTATGTCACAAGCTTCAGGAATAGATATTTTGACATGCGCACACTGCACGAATATACAGAGTTTCCCGATGTCTTCTTTATTTGTTTTAAACAGCAGACTTAATCTTTATCCACTTCTGGTCATGATCTGGAGATGATGAGCGTATGAGCCGTTGTGCCGGTGCTTATATTCATCACACCGTAAAACTGCCCTGTAAAGTGTTTACATGTTCTCTCGATCGCATTAGAAAAGGAATAAACCACTCCTTTCAATCCGATCGAAATTTAATTCGGATCAAGCTCAATCGGATCGATTTAAGGCGTTTACATGAAGGCTTTTCAGTCCGATTGAGCTGTCACTCCCATTACTGATGGATTATTTGGTTGCATATAAACGTAGCCACTGAGTATTCCTCTCATCCCACTGGCAGTTTCACTAGAGTGTGTGTGTGTGTGTGCAGTCGTGTGTATCAGATGAGTAAGATGTACCTGTTTGCTCCGTCGGCTGGACTCTACACCTGCCCGCTGGCCATGACGGACGGAGCTGCTAAAGTCATCGAGGTAAAGCACTCAATACTGTATAAACTATATAATATATAATGCACTATATGGACAAGAGTATCGGGACACCTGACCTTTACACCAACACCATCACGTTCTGAGCAAACAGACACAGTGGAACCCACTCCACGAAGCTCCCGCCGCACATGTTCTGTGCTGATGTGTCCTGACCACTACACCAACAGGGACTGTCTCATGCGATCATTTCCCTTCCCGGTCTGCGATTACTAATGTGTGAGGCCTAATTCTGTGGAAGTAGATGCAGAGAGAGTAAAGGCTGGTGTTATTTTTAGATCTGAGCAGTGCTCTGTGGTGGCGATCTCTGACACCCGCCAGGAAGAAGTTTTTCTGCCCTAGTGTGCGAACCCTTCCTCGCATAGGCACCTTCATGAGTGCTGGAGTGCCTGTTTTTCCTCGGGTTCGGCTGATGAGCAGAACCCTCCTCCTGAGTCGGGTCTTGAAGCAGGGTCCTCCAGTCCCTGGGATGAGGAACCCTTTTTTGTCGTAAGGCAGCTTCGGGAGTGCTGGAGTTTTGAGATCCTACGAAGACATTTGTTTCTGAGTGGTCGCAGCTGGTACTCAGCTGGCTCCCCTTGTTAGTTCTCCTCTCGCTCCAGAGGGCCGTCCTGCGGAGGCCTCCACTCCCTAGAGCTCCTCTTGGATAGCAGTATCGAGTGTTAGGCTCCTTTGAGCCTCCTCGGTAAACAGTCCTTAGCGTAAAGCGTAGTTAGGCCTCCTCTCGCTTTAGAGAGTCGTCTTGCTGAGGCCTCTGTTTTTAGAGCTCCTCTCAGACACTATCAGGTCGTTGGCTCTCTGCGAGCCTCCTTGATGATATTTTCTTAGAGTGTTGCTAGGCCTCCTCTCATTTGAGAGTGGTTTTCCTTCACTCGTATATAGTGTCCCCTGGTATAGTGTCCCCTGAAGTGGCAGGCAAGATATCCCTTATCCTTGGTCATATTCCCTTGGATGTATTGGTTAGAATACCTGGCCCTGAGCTCTGCCCACGGGTATGTAGCCGTTCTGGCCCTGGGGAACAGAGTCACGGCAGCCGCTGGTGTGTACCATCTAGGGCAGGGAACGGTGACTCTGGACACAGCTCTGTGGTGTCATTGACTTTGTCAGCGGTTACGGCACTCACTCCTTCAGCATGGCGGAGTGGGTATTTGTTCCCGAAAGCATCCTAGGACGCAGTGCGACTTCCCATTTGAAAGGGAACGTCTCAGTTACAAATGTAACCTTGGTTCTTTGAGAAGGGGAATGAGAAGCTGCGTCTCATTGCCATGTTTTGGGTATGCATGCCCACGTCTCCTTCAGACAAAATAAGTGACGTCATAGGCTGTCGCCGGGCAATGTTATTGTGGCGTTTAGACACGTGCTTCAGACACCGGTCACACTGTTCCCCAAAGTGGCCTTGTGCGAGTTCCCCTTCTCAGGGTACCAGGGTTACAATTGTAACCGAGACGTTTTCCAAATGTTTCATTTTCAGTTATTTTGTTATGTGCTTTTGTAATTTTTTTAAGTAATGCTATTTAGGTTTAATTTATTTTTATTCTGCTCAAGTTTATTCTGCTCAACTGTTGAACAGAGAAATAAACTAATGAAGATGGAGAATGAGACACTGATATTCTCAGCACCGTAAAAATAAAAGTCCTACTTCTGACACATCAGGCATGTCTGTGAGATGAGCTTAACCAAAGAGTGTGTGTGTGTGTGTGTGTGTGTGTGTGTGTGTGTGTGTGTGTGTGTGTGTGTGTGTAGACTTTAGGTATGCCGGCCAGAAAAGCGTTTGAGCGTCTGACCACACGTGATGACAAGAGATTCTGGACATCAGGACAGTGGATGACCGAGAGGAGAGGAGGATCTGACGTCTGTGAGACACACACACACTCACTCACACACACTCTCACACACACACACACACACACACACACACACACAAACACAAACACACTCACTCACTCACTCACTCACTCACTCACTCACTCACTCACTCACTCACACACACACACACACACACACACATGTTTGTGATACAGTCACTCATCAGTCTCTGATGTGATGCTGTTGTTGTCATAGCGAGCGGTACGGAGACGGTTGCCAAGCGACAGCAGGACGGATGGTTCAAGCTGTATGGCTTTAAATGGTTCACGTCGGCCACGGATGCTGATATGACGCTCACGCTGGCCCGTGTCACAGATGAACACGGACGCACTACACCGGTACCGACACACACACACACACACACACACACACACACACACACACACACACACACACACACACACACACACACACACACACACACGTACGTGTGACTGACATAGAGTTCAATTCATTGTTGTTTATGTGTTTGGCTCAAACGATGTCAGCAGCTTTGTCAAAAAACCTTTTTAAAAGCACCATAAAAGAGAAACAGATGAATGTTTAAGTGCAGATCGCTGCTTTATACTTTTATAGGTTTATAGTATTTGTGTTATAATAACTGTTTATCATTAATATACTGCTTATACAAATTTAAGAATGTTGATGCTCTTGTACTAACTAAATACTATATTCCCAAAAGTATTGGGACGCCACTCCAAATCATTGAATTCAAATCACTTATATGGCCACAGTTGTATAAATAAGCATGGGGTGCAGTGGTGTAAAGCGTGGGATGCAGTGGTGTAAAGCGTGGGATGCAGTGGAGTAAAGCGGGGGATGCAGTGGTGTACAGTGGTGCACCCCCCGCGTGGGATGCAGTGGTGTAATGCGTGGGGTGCAGTGGAGTAAAGCGTGGGATGCAGTGGTGTAAAGCGTGGGATGCAGTGGAGTAAAGCGTGGGATGCAGTGGTGTAAAGCGTGGGATGCAGTGGAGTAAAGCGTGGGATGCAGTGGTGTAAAGCATGGGATGCAGTGGTGTAAAGCGGGGGATGCAGTGGAGTAAAGCGGGGGATGCAGTGGTGTAAAACGGGGGATGCAGTGGAGTAAAGCATGGGATGCAGTGGAGTAAAGCGTGGGATGCAGTGGAGTAAAGCGTGGGATGCAGTGGTGTAAAGCGGGGGATGCAGTGGAGTAAAGCATGGGATGCAGTGGTGTAAAGCGGGGGATGCAGTGGAGTAAAGCGGGTGATGCAGTGGTGTAAAGCGGGGGATGCAGTGGAGTAAAGCGTGGGATGCAGTGGTGTAAAGCGTGGGATGCAGTGGTGTAAAGCGGGGATGCAGTGGTGTAAAGCGGGGGATGCAGTGGAGTAAAGCGTGGGATGCAGTGGTGTAAAGCGTGGGATGCAGTGGTGTAAAGCGTGGGGTGCAGTGGAGTAAAGCGTGGGATGCAGTGGTGTAAAGCGCGGGATGCAGTGGAGTAAAGCGTGGGATGCAGTGGTGTAAAGCGTGGGATGCAGTGGTGTAAAGCGTGGGATGCAGTGGTGTAAAGCGGGGGATGCAGTGGAGTAAAGCGTGGGATGCAGTGGAGTAAAGCGTGGGATGCAGTGGTGTAAAGCGTGGGATGCAGTGGTGTAAAGCGTGGGATGCAGTGGTGTAAAGCGTGGGATGCAGTGGTGTAAAGCGGGGGATGCAGTGGTGTAAAGCGTGGGATGCAGTGGTGTAAAGCGTGGGATGCAGTGGTTTAAAGCGGGGATGCAGTGGAGTAAAGCGTGGGATGCAGTGGTGTAAAGCGGGGGATGCAGTGGAGTAAAGCGTGGGATGCAGTTGAGTAAAGCGTGGGATGCAGTGGTGTAAAGCGTGGGATGCAGTGGTGTAAAGCGTGGGGTGCAGTGGTGTAAAGAGTGGGATGCAGTGGAGTAAAGCGGGGGATGCAGTGGAGTAAAGCGGGGGATGCAGTGGAGTACAGCGTGGGATGCAGTGGAGTACAGCGTGGGGTGCAGTGGAGTAAAGCGGGGGATGCAGTGGAGTAAAGCGTGGGATGCAGTGGAGTAAAGCGTGGGATGCAGTGGAGTAAAGCGTGGGATGCAGTGGAGTAAAGCGTGGGATGCAGTGGAGTACAGCGTGGGATGCAGTGGAGTACAGCGTGGGGTGCAGTGGAGTAAAGCGGGGGATGCAGTGGTGTAAAGCGTAGGATGCAGTGGAGTAAAGCGTGGGATGCAGTGGAGTAAAGCATGGGATGCAGTGGTGTAAAGCGTGGGATGCAGTGGAGTAAAGCATGGGATGCAGTGGAGTACAGCGTGGGATGCAGTGGAGTACAGCGTGGGATGCAGTGGTGTAAAGCGTGGGATGCAGTGGAGTAAAGCATGGGATGCAGTGGAGTACAGCGTGGGATGCAGTGGAGTACAGCGTGGGATGCAGTGGAGTACAGCGTGGGATGCAGTGGAGTAAAGCGGGGGATGCAGTGGTGTAAAGCGTGGGATGCAGTGGAGTAAAGCGTGGGATGCAGTGGAGTAAAGCATGGGATGCAGTGGTGTAAAGCGGGGGATTAGGTGGGATAAGGAACTCTTAATGTTTGAGCTTACCAAGACATTTTGGACAATTTCATGCTCCCAACTTTGTGTGAAGAGTTTGGGGATGTTTCTGTTCCAACATGACTGTCTCTCTCTGTGTGTGTGTGTGTATGTGTGTGTGTGTGTGTAGGGCAGTCGGGGTCTGTCTCTGTTCCTGGCGGAGGTGTGGGACTCTGACGGCTCATCTAACGGGATCGAGGTTCAGAGGCTGAAGGATAAACTGGGGACGCGGCAGGTGCCGACGGCGGAGCTGCTTCTGGATGGCATGAACGCGCGGCTGGTAAACCTCACTCACACATACACTCACACACACACTCACACACATACTCACTGTGGTCTCTCTTCAGCTGTCCGAGGAGGGGCGCGGCGTGGCCTCCATCGCTAACATGCTGACCATCACTCGCATCTACAACACTGTGTGTGCGGTGGCCGCCATGAGGAGGTGATTTTACCACACACTCCTCATCATCATACACACAGCAGAGACGACGTCAGTGAGTGAGTGTATGTGTGTGTGTGTGTGTGTGTGTCAGGATTGTCCATCTGAGCAGGGAATACGCATGCAAGCGTTCAGTGTTTGGGAAGCTGCTGAAGGATCATGCGCTGCATGTGCAAACACTCAGCAGAATGGAGGTAAACACACACACACACACACACTCACACACACACACACTGTTTGCTGTAGTGCCACTCATGAAGTGTGTGTGTTTGTTCAGGTGGAGACTCGCGCTGCGTTTCTGCTGACGATGGAAGTGTGTCGACTGCTGGGTCGCGAGGAGAACCAGAGCGCCAGTGAGAGAGAAACACTCCTACTGAGACTGATGACCCCTGTCGCCAAACTCTACACCGCTAAACAGGTGCTCACACACACACACTCACACACACACACACACACACACACACACACACACTCCTACTGAGACTGATGACCCCTGTCGCCAAACTCTACACCGCTAAACAGGTGCTCACACACTCTCTCACACACACACACACACACACACACACACACACACACACACTCCTACTGAGACTGATGCGCCCATTAGTGCCCATTAGTTGACTGTAGATGACTTGGCGGGGCAGGCGGTGTTCAGGCGTGCGTATGCTGTGCCCTATCCAGCGCAGATGTGTTTTGGCCACAGCTGATCCATCCAGATTGAGTCAGTGTTGCTGAGGATGACTGTATGGGGGATTCGATCTTCCCAGGACAAACTGAGGATCTTCTGTAGGCAGCGGATATGGAAGGCCTCTAGGTTGATGATGTGCTGGCGGTATGGGGTCCATGACTCTGCCCCATAAAGCAGAGTTGAGACGCACACCGCGGTGTAAACAGCGAGCTTGGTACTGACCTTCAGGTTACGGTTTTCAAAAACCCTGCTGCGTAGGCGTCCAAAAGATGATGAGGCTTTATTTATCCAAGTGTGTATTTCTGTGTCAAGGAGCAGCATGAGGACAAAGTGGAGCCGAGGTAGGTGAAGTGGTCCACTGTTTCAAGGGGAACACCGTTTATGTGAAAATGGATGAGATGGGACATGACCTCGGTTTTTTGAATGTTGACCTGTAGGCCGAAGGATTGGTACAGACTGGATATTGTGTTAAGGGCGTGCTGCATAGAGTCTGGGCTGTGAGCTAAGATGGCACAGTCATCAGCATACTGAAGCTCACAGATTTGGCGGGTCTTTGTCTTTGTGCGGGCCTGGAGCCGACGGATGTTGAAAACGCTTCCGTCAAGTCGGTATTCCACATGGACACCGTCTCCATGTCCCATGACACGGTGGAAGAGGCAGGTGATGGCAGAGAGGAGGATGTTAAAGAACACCGGACAGCCTTGCTCACCCCAACGGCTTTTCTCGGCTCTTCTCCATCAGCTGCCTCAAGACAAACACCATGTCTGTCGTGGATCTGGTCTTCCGGAAGCACAGCGTCCTAGATGTGCTCAACCAGTCTGCTGAGCATGACCTTGGCCAGGACTGTCCCTGCGATGGAGAGGAGAGATATCCCACGGCTGTTGCCTCGGTCTCCGTTCTGCTTCCGATGTTAGCATCCTTCCAGTCCTGTGGGAGGGTCCCATGTTCCCAGATGTTTTGGATCAGGAGGTGCAGAACAGAGCATTTC